GAAATAAACTGCCAACGCCGCCCCCGTCTCGCCCAGGCTCTGGAAACATCCGGCGAATGCGTCCCGCACCGGCCGAAACCGCGGATCACAGTGGCCCCTGACTTCCGCACCAACGGCTCGCTCGGCCGCTGGCTCCCCGCTCATCTTCTCGGGGATCTAGAACCTCATGACCAGTGCCCACCTGAGCTGCTCGCGGAGGTAGCTGCGTGCCCCCGATGACGACAGCAGCGGGTGCTCGCAGGCCGATGGGGAACACTCAGCCAGGGGCCCCTGGAAACCAACACGGCTTGAGCCGAAATGACTACGGAGGGCGTCCATTGATTTTTGGCACGGGAACGTCACGCTTTCCATGGCAGATCTATCGAAACCCAAGAAACCCAGGGCACCCTGGAGGCAAGCAATTTCTTGGCATGGGCCTCCACTGTATCTCCGCAGAGGGCGCCTCCAGAAGGTCTCCGAGCGAGCTCGGGCGGCCTCCTCCAGAGGTCTCCGGAGACGCGGGCCTGCACAAGGGACCCCCCCAATGATCACTGGTGGCCCAGGGGCCGAGGAGCGCCAAAGAGCGTTGACAATGAGAAACAATGCAACTCTTGCGCATGTTGAAAACGAGTGCGCGCGGCGCTAAAACGAACGCCACATTTTGAAAACGCAACGCCCTCAATCCGTGAAACTCTTGCACACGTTTAAAACGAATGCGCGCGGCGCTAAGGCGAGAACCACACGTTGAAAATCGGCCGCCTCAATCCGTGGAACTCTTGCAATTGCTGAGAAACGAATGTGCGCGGCGCAAAGGCGACAAACATATGTTGAAAACGAGCCGCCCTCAACCCGTGGAGGTCTTGCGAATGTTCGAACGGAAATTGCGCGGCGCTCAAGCGAGAGCCACACTTTGGAAGCGACCCGCCCTCCATCTGTGAAATTGGTGCCAACTTTGAAACTTGGGGCTCTTTACTGACAAGGAAGTCTCAGGCGAAACGCCCGGCCCGCCCTTCCGACTGGCCTCGGGGTGCGACAGGGAGGAACTACTCATAAGGATAACGAATGGAGGAAGAAGAGGAGGAGGAGGAGGAGGAGGAAGAGGAAGACGAGGAGGAGGAAAAGGGTGAGGAGGAGGAGGAGGAATAGGAGGACGAGGAGGAGGAGGAGGAGGGAGGAGGAGAGGAGGAGGAGAGAGAGAGAGAGGAGGGAGGAGGAGGAGGAGGAGGAGGAGGAGAGGAGGAGGAGAGGAGGAGGAGGGAGGAGGAGGAGAGAGGAGGAGGAGGAGGAGAGGAGGAGGAGAGGAGGAGGAGGAGGGGAGAGGAGGAGGAGGAGAGGAGGAGGAGGAGGAGGAGGAGGGGAGAAGGGGGGAGAAAGGAGGAAGAGGAAGAGGAAGAGGAGGAGGAGGAGGAGGAGGAGGAGGAGGAGGAGGAAAGACCCACCCATAGAAGAAACTCCTCGGTCAACTGAACACGCTACGGAGCACACGCGACCTCCTGCTGAGGGCACGGCTCTTCCCTTCAAGCAATCGTGCAGCCTGGATTCGACTGTACTGATCATGTGAACGCTGTGAATTGAATGTGGACACTGTAAGGTCGATTGCAACGGCAGAGGCGAAAAGCTGTTGACTAGAGTGCCAAGACGTGCGGCGGATGAACAGACGATCGAGACAAGGCAGAGCAGGTCAGGCAGGCGGCAGCGAGGGAAGCAAGCGAGAGGCAGCGGCAAGAAAGATAGGGCATTACAAGTAGTGATCAATGCTATCACCTCCAACGGCTATGCAACCAAATCTGCACGTTAGAATTCCCCGTCGGAACCGTCGAGAGGTACACCATGAATTGCAAATCGCTTTTAAAACGGGAATTCCCACAAACTCAGGGAGAAAACGGTTGATCAACCGAAACGCAAACACAAAATCGAAAGCAACCGAAAAATCGACTCCACGATCCCAGTAGCGGAATCGGGGGAGGAGACAATCAGCGCTTGTTCCATTCACAAACAGGGGTCTCGGGGCAGCTTGAGTTTTGCGTTGCAGCTCAGAACAGGGCGCATGAGGGACTCGCGGGATCTGCCAGACACGATCATGAAGGGTTTTCATCTGATGCATGATGCACTGGTCACGCCATTCAATCAGATTCGGGATCAAAGTTCTTTCGTTACTGGCCGCCGCACGCTCCAGGGCTTCACGTCCACGGTGAAAGGCTGACAAGAAGGCGCAGCGGTAGCGGGCAGCGTCGCACGCCAAAAGAAATGATCGCACCTGCACAGTCATAAGCAGATCTTTCAAGTTGCGCAGCAACGGAGTCGGGATCGAGAAACGGGGGCTGGCCGTGAGAAGGAGCTGTCGGGGTCGGCGGACAGACTGCGTGATATACGATAACACCGTGAACCCGTGCATATTGTAGGCAGCAACGTTCCCAATGAGCGCCTTCCGCATGGCCCCAGTGAGAAGCCCCCGGCGACGACGCGCCCCGACAGGTTTGATCCAAGATTCCCCCATGGCCCCAGGGCCAAGCCAGACGCCTAGGTTTTTCGACTTCGCTACACAACTTGCATCGTCGAGTACGCGCCCCAAGAGCCCAGAACGATCCATGCATATCGGGTTGTGGAAACAAGAAACACAGCTCGTTCTTGGGGAGTTTAAGTACCAGCCCCGCGGCTCCCGCAGCAAGAATCCACACCTGTAAAACTGGCGGCAGACACCGGTGCAAATCAGAGCTGGCGAGCCCCACATCACCTGCAAAAGCTCGCGAAGCACTGGGCGCAGGGATGCTCGCTTGCATCTTGCGAAGAATTGGATCGAACGCTGCAGCAAAAATGATTCCACTCAGCGGGCACCCCTGTTTGACCCCTCTCTCCAGCGGTAAGGGATACTTGCGGCGACCGTTAAATGAGACTCGCACCGAGATCGACGAATACAGCGCGCGAACAGCACGGATGAGAGCACGCGGAAGTCCCATCCCCTCCAAAACCCAAGAAACATCCAATCGTGCAAAACCAAAGAAAACGCAGCTTGGACATCAAATAAACACACCCCTGCCATCCGTTCCCCATGGAGAATGCCATGCTCGAGAAGCACCGTCTCCAGGTCAAGAACACTGTCGACTATGTTCCGCTGTCGAGTACGCCCCGCCCAGGCACGACCCCCCGTTGGATCGGGGCAACAGTGTGAACTGCAACTCCAGCGAGCGAACACGCGATGGCCCCCGCCATAATCTTGTCGCGCGAGTTGGAGAGGGGAATGGGGCGATCATTGGTAGGAGGGCGGAATGCTCCCTCTCGATCGCGTTCCTCCTCCCCCTTCGGAATGAAGACGGCCAGGCGCTCGTCGAACTCGGGCGGCAGGTCGCCCGCCTCGAACAGGCGGCAATGAATGGCGTAGAGCAACCGTCTCCCCTCCTCACCCACCTTCCAACAACTGTAAGGTAACCAGTCTCCCCCCAGTGGCTGAATCCCGCAGCTAGTTCAGCCGCTCGTTAAACTCCACGACGCAGAGCTGCCGCTCTTTGCGCGACGGCGCGGACTGGATCAAGTCGCTAAAGGCAGACACGGCAGTAGCAAAAGCCCCCCCCCCCCCCCCTCCTTTCTGAACTCCCCCCGATACTCTGCCAAGGTCCGAACACACGCGTCGGGTTCTGTCATATCAGTGAGCGCAGGTGGGGGGCGAGCCAGCAGCGCGCTCGAGCTCGCAGTAGAGACCTGCAAACGGCGCCACACGGCGCACCCGAGCCCGCGCTTGCTGAAGCCTGTTGACGCGGCGGACCTGCGCGTCCTTAGCAGCAGGGGCAGCGAACTGCCCATCATATCGGCCTCCTCCTCCTCCAAACTCTGAAGAGTGATGGCGCGAAGAGGTTCATGGAACCCATCCAAATCAATCCACGCCCCCTCCTCCGTATCTATAAACTGGCCAAGCGCTGGATAGGCGCGGCACGCGCGGCGAAGGGCGGCAGGGCGGTGATCTCGCATGGCCCGAAGCGCTGCGCACATCCAACTGATCTGATCGTGCAAAGTACGTGCCCCCTTCAACTCCCTCCTCCTCCTCGAAGGGGCCCCCGCTTCGAACAGAACGTGCTTATACTGGGCAAGCTGGTCACCCAAGTCTCCCTCCAACTGCGCCTCCAAAAGGATAGCCCCCACCTCCTCCTGAAATTCAGGCGCGCGAGCAAGCCGGGCAGGAACGCGGTCGAATCGGGGGCGCAAGACACCCCGTGCCCGAGAAATACTGGCGCACGATCACTGCACCAACCTGTAGAACCGCAGCCCACGGCGCCCGTCGTCGGCCGGAGCTCCTTCAGAACAGCTGGGTAACAATTCGCGTAGATGCGATCTAGCCTGGCCATGGAAACTAGCTGACCTCCTTCCCCCCCCCTTATGCGCAGGCAACTCCTGTTCCACTTCGCCAAAATCCGAGCGCACCGAATCAAAATACTCTGAAAGATTGTGTGAGATAGTAGTAGTACTTCCATCCCGATATTGTCTAGCTTCGGCGGCAGCGCAAAAGTTCAAGTCGCCTGCCGGGATCGCAAACGACCGAGAGGGGCAAAGAGATGCGAGCGAGCACGCTGCAGCAAGTCCCGCTTCTCCTGCTGGCCAAGAGCGGGAAGGACATGGGCGTTGTAGATCTGCGAAGTGCCTGCAGGACCACAGCACGAAATAACGTGGCGACGACCGTCAAATAGCGCAGCGTAGTGGACGCGGTGAAACTGCTCAACAAATTCACGAGATCTCGCCGTGATAATCCCTCCTGCTCTCGCTTCAGCACAGAAGCTCCCAAAGAACATGTGGTGGGGAAGTCCCTGGCAACAGGCGATGTCCCCATCTGAGCCATGCACTTCCTGCCAACGCACTATCTCGTGACGATCCAGAAGATTCCGAAACTTGGCATACCTACGCTCTTGATGACGGTGATCCCCATGAGCACTGCCAAATAGAGCCTTCGCGTTCCACGTCGCAACTCTGAAACGCACAGACGGGCAAAATGCGCGTGCCCAAGAAGCTTCCGAAATGTCCTCGTAGTCCTCATCCTACGGAAAGGTGAGCTTGGCAATCATGGCAGCGGCTTGATCACTGGTAATGGAGACGTTGTCGAGATTCTCGCCACGAAATCCGACACGGTACGATGTCCCGTCCTCCTCAACCTTGAACAGCTCCCAAGCATCGATGTCATTGGAGTAGTGCAGCGAGCCCTTGTACGCGTTCGTACCGAGGCTCGAGATCCCTTCCTTCCACAAGTGAGAATCTAGTGACGGTTGTTTCACCAGTCTCCACAACTGGCTGAGCACAAACCCACGCTTACGAATCTCAATCGGCTTGTGAGCACCCGCGCGGATAGCGTGCACGATGTTGCCCCGTGGATCGGTCCACTCGACAACGAGTGAGCGAACGACAACCTCATCCTTGAAACTCTGAGCGGCAGTGCGATTCGGGAAGGCCAGCATGTACGAGAACGACATGTTGTGATATATCGGTTTCACCGCTTCCTTGATCGAACCGTGTCATTTCGGGTACACCGCAGACTGGAAATGAGCCTTGAACTGCGGAGCAATTAAGTTCCTCGGGAATCCACGGAACCACACCTTCGCATCATCATCCTGGGTTGACCCAACACTAGACGGCGAGCGTGTGCTACGGAACGTGCTCCAAGGGTCACTGCCTCCAGGTGGCGGCACCTTTGCCATCAACTCATTCTGAGAAGGCCTCATGACAGCTTCCAACTCGAGTTTCTTCAGACGACCAGCAAGAACCTTCTGAGAGTCCTGGAGCGTGTCGATATTAGTCTGAATCGCGGCACATCGAGCATCCCCTTCACTCTTCACAACCATGAGCTCCTGACGCAAAGCCGTCGTAGACGTGCTGATTTAAGACTTGACCACAACAGCAATCATGATATTCCTTTATCATCCCCTGAAGCAATGACTGCACATCCCCAGCAAGCGGCGCCCTCCCCTGCGGCGTCCCCGTCCCGCAGCCTGACCTCGTAGGAGAAGTGGAGCGGGCTGGAGGAGTAGCAGAGCGGCGGTCGGATCTGCTGCGGCGCCCTTTTTTTCTTGTCCGTCTTCCCTTCCCTCCGTTGCGAGCGACGAGAGGGGGAAGAGGAAGACGAGCTGCGACCCATGGCAGATGAAGAACAGACGACGAGAGCCACGGCAGTGTGCCACACCGTATCGGCGAGAGGTTTTTTTTGCAGTGCGAAACAAAAGCAGCAATCAGTGCAGCCTGGTTGCGGGCTCCCGCACTGAAAGCCACACCGGTCGTTGAACCACCTCGGGAAATGTTTTGCTTGAGCCAAAATGGCTTCAGCCAAAATGGCTACGGAGGAGGAGGATGAGGAGGAGGAGCAGGACAAGGAGGACGAGGACAGGGAAGAGGAGGAGGGGGAGAAGGAGGAGGAGGAGGAGGAGGAGGAGGAGGAGCAGGACAAGGAGGACGAGGATGGGGAGGGCCGCTGGAGGTCGGGGACCCCTGGGGCGCGCGCCGTACTGTCGCAGCTCGAGGGCGGGGCGGGGGCACGGCCCGTCGCTGGCCGCGCCTGGCGGCGGTGGCCGCGGCTGGCGGTTGGGGCGGGGGGCCCAGGGGCGGAGCGTGAGGAGGGGGAGGAGGAGGAGGAGGGGGAGGAGGAGGAGGAGGAGGAGGAGGAGGAGGAGGAGGAGGAGGAGGTCTTGGAGGAGGACGAGGTCTTGGAGGAGGAGGAGGAGGAGCAGCAGAAGGAGGCGGAGCAGCAGAAGGAGGCGGAGGAGGAGGAGGAGGAGGAGGAGGAGGAGGAGGAGGGCTTGGGCAGCCGAGGCTGCGCCGCCTGGGTGCCGCGGGCATCCCGCCTGCGCGGGATTCGAGTAAGGGATCGACTACATGATCGATGTACCCCAGGATTGATCTGCCCGTCGGATCTACGAAAACTGCGCAGAAAAGCTCTGTAGATCTGCGGAACCTTCTCTACGTCTCTCTCGTAGACTCGACGGAGCATCAACTCTGGGGTAAATCGATTCTTTGGTCGATCCCCTACTCGAAGGATGGGCACGGGCTCGAGGTCTGACACTGAGGTTTCGGGCGGTTTCGTCAGTTCTCGGCGGTGTTCCGGCCTCGGGATGCCTTCTGGCAGCTGCGCCTCGCCGAGAGCGCCGTGGGGGTGCCCAGGCCGCCCCGAACGGCCGCCGGAGGCCTCACGCACGGCCCGAACACCACTCGGAGAAGGGGGACCGGCTCAGGGGGGGAAACGTCGACCTGGAGTCGGCGATACCTCGTCGACACATCTCGGCGACGAGCCTGGGGGGGAAGTGAGAAGGGGCGGGCCTCCTCAGAAGGCTCGGAAGTCTCCCGGCCTTCTGAGAAGGTCTCTGAGCCTTCCCGCAAGACAGAAAAAACATCGCAGAATGCGCGAGGGCTTCTGAGAAGTCCGGCCGCCTTCTGAGAAAGCCTTCTCCTTCTCATTCCCCCCTCGCTCGCCGACGAATGAGGTTTTTGGGCCACAACTCAGGCCTCCGGCGGGCGTTCGGGACGATCCGGGCAACCCTGGATCGCCCTCGGTGATGCGCAGCTGCTGGCAAGCATCCCGAGGCTGGAAAACTGCCGAGAACCGACGAAAGCGTCCGAAAACCTCGAACCCGAAACTCAACTTCTCGAAACTGAGAAAACGTCCGAGAACCTCGAACCTGAGAAGGCCTTCCACTCTCCTTCTCACTTTCCCCCTCGCCCGCCGCCGAACCTCGGCGACGGGGCCCCCGGGAGCGGCACACCGCACGATCCTGGGCGGGGGGGGGGGCTGACCCAGGCCCCCACCGGCGATGCACATGGGCCACTGGGGGTCGATGCGTGGAGCCTCTGAGCCCGTCCCCCCCCCCCACCGAAGAGGAGGAGGAGGAGGAGGAGGAGGAGGAGGAGGAGGAGGACGACGACGAAGAGGAGGCGGCCGCCTGCAGGAGGACGACGAAGAGGAGGACGAGGAGGAGGAGGAGGAGGAGGAGGAGGAGGAGGGTCGAGTTTGTTGCCCGTCGAGAGAAGCAGGGGGTGGGGGGGACCCCAAACTGGAGACCGATCACGGTTTATGCTGACGGAGGGGAAGTGGGCCGACAAGGGTGCAGCTGCCGTGCAGCCGCAGCGAGGCCCGACACGTGCTGCGGCAGGCCCCCTCCTCCCTCCCCCCGGGTCTCTGCTCCTGCGCCCCTCCGCGGCCGGCGAAGAGCAGGTGCGCAGGGGAGGCTTGGCCGGCCACGGAACTCCCGAGCCAGCCATGTTGACATCTCTCGGGGGGGGGGGGGCGCATCCGCCACTTCTGCCAGCTCGGGTCGGCCCTCCGCCGGCGCAGCCGCCCACGCAGTGCTCCCGCGCGGGCTCCCGCCATCCTTGTGCCGCCGCCCGCCGGGGACGAGACGTCCACCTCTCGATGCCTCGCTTTGGCAGTGTTTTTTGGGGGGAGCGCCTTGGCGGACACAGCGAGCTACGAGAGAAGGAGAGAACGAGAGAGAGAGAGAGAGTAAGAGTACAGTCAACCCGTATCATGAGGATGCACAGTGAGGATGCAAAGGGGGCCTTGGGGGCAGATATTCACGTTTTTCGAACGAGGCTGGCCACCGAAAGCCGCTGAGGATGGGCCATTAAGGGACAAGGATGCAAGGGTACCCTTGGGAAGATTGCCCATCCTTACAATGCGGGCTGACTGCAGGGAACCCTTCTTTTCCGTCTAGCACGGCCAAAACACTCGAGCCCCTCTCGGGTGGTGGGAGCCTCGCGCGAGGAGCAGCGCCGCACGGCCACGACACCGGCAGAAACGGAGCCCACCGGAGGCCCCCGGCACGCCGAGGCGCCGGGACGCGCTCGAGGCCAGGTCACCGACCCCCACGGGGCTGGCCCCGGGCGACGCCACCTCGGGAAGCAGCGCCGCACGGCCACGACACCAACAGAAACGGGGCCCACCGGTGGCCCCTGGCACGCCGAGGCGCCGGGACGCGCTCGGGGCCAGGCCGCCGACCCCCACCGGGCTGGCCCCGGGCGACGCCACCCCGGGAAGGAGCGCCTCCACGGCGGAGGCAGGCGCGCGGGGCAGGCCGCGGGCCTCCCTGGAGGCCGCAGCACTCGCGGCCCGTGGCGGAGGAGCTGCTGCGCGCCCTCGCGCCGAGCGCCTGCTCGCCGCGGGCCTCTTCGCCGAGCCCGCTCCAGGGGGAGGGGGAGGGGGAGGAGGAGGAGGAGGAGGAGGAGGAGGAGGAGGAGGAGAGGAGGAGGAGGAGGAGGAGGAGGAGAGGAGGAGAGGAGAGGAGATGGAGATGGAGATGGATGGAGATGGAGATGAGATGGAGATGGAGATGAAGATGGAGATGGAGATGGAGATGGAGATGGGGGGGGTGGAGGTGGAGGTGTGAGGAGAGGAGGAGGAGAGGAGGAGGAAAAGAGGGGAGCAGGAGAAAGAGGAGGAGGAGGAGGAGAGGAGGAGGAGGAGGAGAGGAGGAGGAGGAGGAGGAGGAGGAGGGGGGGTGAGCGCGTCCTTTCCCTTCCTCGCCATCGCTCGGGCGTCCATTCCCCGTGCATTTTTCGGCTTCGTGCGCGCATTTTTGTTACGATGCTCCAGGATGCTTCTCGACAGTCCTCGCCGAGAAAAAATGCTCACGCCCGAGCGATGCCAAGCTTCGGACCTACGAGAATCGGCCAGGGAGACTCCCAGGAATTTTGCCCAGGCCGCCTCACTGCGCGCCCTCGCGCCCCCGCGCCGCCCCCTGGGAGAAGGGCAGCCCCCCCGGCCCAGGCCGTGACGCGCGTTAAGCGCGATCATCGTCGCGCCTCCGGGGGTGACCCCGAGACTCCCATGGAGGGCACTAAGACGAGGCCAAGACGAAGACAACACCGGGCAAAGAGAAACCGAGGATCTCTCAGACCCAGCGGCTTCCGGAGGAGACCTCGGGCGCCGCGGCCGCCTCAGAGGGGCAAAGACTGGTCTACTCTGTAAGAACGGTTTTTTGAAGGCAGATCTGCCTTCAAAAAACCGTTCTTACAGAGCAGACCAGTCTTTCCTCCTTGCAGGTAGAGTGCGAATCCAGAGCCAATCTGGGCGCCGCGGCCGTCTCTGAGGGGCCCGGAACGCTTCGAGAGCCTTCCGGAACGCTCCGGCACGGCCTTCTCCTCGCTCGCTGGCCCCGCCGACGCCCCAGGAGGTCGGCGCTCCGCGCGCCGGCCGGGCCGAGGGCGCCCCGGCTCGCGGAGCAGCCTCCGAGGCCGCTCGGTCCGCGAGAGCTCGCCGCCCGCGCTCGGGCACGCCTCGGGGGCCCCGCGAGGCGCTCGCATCGAGCTCGAGGCGGGGCGCCGACCGCTCCAGCGTGGCTCGCCCCCTCGCCGCCAGGCAGAGGTCGCGAAACGCATGCGAAGCCAGACCTCACGGCTGCGTCCCCGCCCGCCCGCGCTCCCACGCCGCGCGCACCGGTCG